GTAAAGAAAAATTCCCAATCAAAGTGAAGACTCACTGTGAATATCGAGTCTCATAATACATCGCGCTGTTCCAAACTGATTTCGCGCCTCCACGGCGTATTCTCCGCCGTCTTCAGGGAAAGCGTCAGCAATCACTAGACGAACATCTGTACCGTTTCGTACGTATTGGAAAGATTCAGAATCCGTGATGACCACTCGATTACGAACCCAACGTATTTGCAATGGTTCAGAACCTAAATTGAAAGTTGTTCTGACGTTTCTTTAATAACCGGTAGTAAACAGCATTAGGTCGAAGATATACCTTGCACAAGCTCAGCAGCTAGCTCAACACGCTCTCCATCATTGGCTTTTATTATCGATCGAACTTTTTCAGTTCTATAAAATGGATTATGTACTTACAAGGTAAAAAAAAACGTATGCAACTTGAACTTGAAAGCAAGAAGAAAGTCCTCGAGAGATTTTGCTGTAATTCAACAAGAAAAAACCAGATTTAAATTCGATTATAAAGAAACGCTAACCTGAACAAAGGCGGAATGCCGTCAGCCGATAATGACTCTCCGGGGTCAATTTCAAGACAGACCTAAAAACACATTTCATCCAGGTGTTTATAAGGTATAGCTAATTTTATTAAATAAAAAGTGACAATATATTTAAGGAAAAGCGACAAACATACATACATGAATGAGCATTCAAAATATACCTGAGCCTTTGTCTCTCCACATTCATTCTTCGCTTCACAGGTGTAAACGCCTTCGTCTGCGACTGACACAAACGCGAACTTCAGTGTTGCACATTCGCCGTCGTAAGACATCACATATCTGGAACTCAATCTCGTTCTTCAAACAGATCGAAAAAGTGCTGTCCATTCGCTCCACGATTTTGGCTCGGGTCAGTTTTCGAACATTCAAACGAAACAGAGGACTCAAACGACAAAAACACCGGAGAATGCTCTTTTTTGAAGCAGCTAACTTCCAAACTACACTTGATTCTAGATTATACTTTCTTCAAGTTTCTGCGAACATTACCTTTCCGTTTGTGGGAGCAGTGGAGTGCCATTACGCAACCACCGAATAGCAGGTGCAGGATATCCCGATAGAGAGCATTCAATTGACAACGGCTCGCAAGCAATTGCCTTAATAAGTTGCCGTGAACCACAGAAGAGAAGACAGACAAGACCTGGTGAAAACAGGACTTACCTTCAACTTCCCTGGCAGCACTTCAATGAAAGCTGGCGCTTTAAGTTCTTTTTTCGGTTTTCGTTTTTCTTGCTGTGCTGAAGGATCCTCAGTGGCTTTCACCACCTCAACCTTGAAATGGAGAACATCAAAAACGGACTATTACGCTGACAATGGAATGAACGAGTACCTCAGACGAGCATGTTGAAATTCCTTCACTGTTGGTAGCAGTGCAGTTGTAGAATCCTTGGTCGAAAATGGAAACTTGATGAACCTGTCAATTGGTAAGTATGAGTTCATTTATGCGATAAAGTACGTAATAGTAGAACAGAAACGACCGATCAGCGGGCACAACGACGCCACGGGATCATGAAGAGCATGGCAACTATAGTGGTATAGCTGATAATATACGAAAGCTGCAGAAACACTGATGAACGAGGAGTCGAGGAGATTGCGCGCTAAATTGTTGAACACAGTTGGTCAACCAAAACCCCAAGTCCACTCACGATCATGGGAGGAACTGAACACCCGTAGCGAAAGTGATAATTCACTTTCTGTCCTAGCGACCCAAACCGAAGAAAACCCTACGCACTACGAGTGTTCATGCAGTGTTTAGGACGAGCAATAAATTAGCTGATCAGCGAGGAAGAAACTAAAACACACCTCCAAATAGTAGAAATCTCCATCATTATAGATAGAGTACTTATTGCCAGTCTCCAGTATGACACCTTCACGATCCCAATGAACAACTGGCGTTGGATTGGCAGAAATGGCGGTCTTCAGTCGAAGAGACTTAAACTCTTCCAATACCTAGAAAAGAATTTCAAAGCGTTCTGCTTGATGTGAAAAAAAATAATCGGGAAATACCTTCTTTGGCCTTGGTTTCACTATGAACTTCGGTCTGCACATGTGTTCATTTCTTGCTTGAATGGTACTGCGAATTTCTTCCATAGCTAAAGGGAAACTTGAATTTATTTGATGAAAACAAGTTGGTAGTAATCAAAAGATTCTCCCAAAAACGCCGAGACTACAAATTTTCTGAAGATGTTGAGGGATTGGCTGCATAAACATGGGTATTTCTGCACCACCTCACGAATAACCCTCCCCAGGAAGGGTCCATTTCGAGAAGATGTCTTATAATCAAAAAACCACACCGTGGCTACTTGCGGAACGTACCCATTTTATATGAACCATGAAACATTCAAATTAGCCTACCCAAGTAGCCTTGCTTCTGTTCATCAGTGCTTTGTCTTCGCGACTCCTCGTCGATCTTCATTCCAGCCATTATGCTAGCTGCGAGACCTCGTGCCGTCTTCGCGCCTTTGTCACTGTGACGATGGCGGTGTTCTAAACACAGAAACGGAAATAGATCTGGCAGAACTATTGATCACAGTGGTAACTTACTTCCTTTCAGTTTTCCGGCTACCGCAGCTGATGCTCCGGCCTCAAGCTCCATGTCTTCAAGGCCTTTGATGAAAACAGGAGCGGCACCTTTTTTGCGCATCTCCATGCGAACCGTTGAGGCAGACTTTTTCACCTGAGGAAGAAATGCGCACATGAGAATACCTTTTTGGAGGGTAAAAGCTCTTACTTCTTCGCGGAACGCAACTTTCGGCTTTACTGCAATCCCAGGTGCTTCCACTTGCTGGAACTGCGGTGGCTCTGCATGGCGTGGCTCACCAACGTTCAGTGATGAGGTGGTACGCACAACGCCATGGACATTGGAGGCTTCGACGGCATAGCTGCCGAGGTCTCTCAAGGACACTTGCGACACTCGTAACTCGCAGACATTCTCCGATAGATAATTTATCTGGAATACGGTTCCTTAGGACAGAACGGAGTGAAACTGAGAGACAGGAGAAGTTTAAAAGGATCAGAATGGATCATCAAAATATGGAGGTTCGGACCAAAATCCTGTGAAACCCCAGCAGTCTGGTACAGCTCTGCCGCCGCAAAGATTTTGGTTAGATGTGTATGGACAAGCGGCTCTACAATATGCTTGTCAGGCGTGTGGCGTTTAGGTTGTTTTGGTTTTCAGATATAACTTGATTGGCCGCTCGTCGCTGTTGGCGGTATAAAGCCAAAAAGTCGTTTTTCTTTTTCTGCACCTTGTATCGTCTTCCTTCACAACTCTTCTTGTCTTGTGTAACTCCATGTCAGGTCAGGAGCGGGATAGCCTGCTACTTCAAAACTTCAAACACCACCTCTTCTCCGAGAGGAGTCCAGACATCTCTCAGGCATCGAAGGAAACGAGGAGGTCCGGCACGTTCATCTTTCAGATCTGAAAACACGAACATATCGCCTCAGCAAACATTAGCATCAACCAAACACAATCGATCGATCAAAATCAGTAGAAGGCATTGAGAAAAGCTTTAATCCAACCAGCGCCCAGAAACTATACATTAGTACAAATAGGCCCTCATACACGCCAAGTCAGTTGGACCAGTTTTTCAGGATTCACTTCCTTACCTCTTGGTGTTGTTGTAAATTTGAATAAATAGATTCATTAATTTGATAAAGACCTTTCGCTTACCTCCAATAAGAAGATAACACATTGAACTGGCTTGACCATGCTCATTGCTAGCCACGCATTTGTATGTGCCCTGCTGATTTCTTAGCACACAATCTGCTTTGAGCTCCGCCACCTAAAAATGAGAATAGATTTTTTGAAATCAACGAAGGCAACGAATCTCTACCAGCACGCAAATGAAGGAAATCCACTGTATTACAATTACCTCTCCTCCTCTGCATTCTATCCAGCCATGTTCATCATCCGTTAGGCAGGTGATGTTTCCTGCATCGTCTATGTAATACCATTTTAGTTCAGGTTCAGGAACACCATGCACCTGCAACGCAACGGCTGAAGTTCTCAGCCCAGGGGTTCAAACTTTCAAAAAGTGCCCAAAAACTGACAATTTGCCAGCTTGTGCATTTTCACTTTTCAGGCATTTTTTGAAAGCTGTAAATATATTTAATTGTAAAAAGATCCACCAGATTTTTTTACGGTTTCTGCAAAGTGTAAGCATCTAACATAGTCAAAACAGGTGCACTTGGGAATCTGCTCCTCAACATACCTTACAACCAAGTGTGACAGGATGTCCTGCAACAACACCAGTGTCTTTGAGATGTTCTGAGAACGCAGGTTTTTCTGCGGCAGGGAGTGAAGTCTTGCCACGATCTAGAATAAAATTGTGCTAGCAGTCGTACTTCTGTACTTCTAGTTACTTTATTCAAGATCGAAGTACTTACGGACAAAAACTTGAGTCTCAGTCTCAGCCTCGCCATGGATGTTATGGGCGATGCAGCTGAAAATGCCGCTTGTTTTCGAAACAACGCACTCCACGACCAGGTGACTCTCGCCATCACCGGTCAAATACGTTTTGTACGGTCGATTAGAGCGCACTACTTCTCTTCCGTCTTTCTTCCAGGTCAATGTTGGCTTCGGTTCACCAACAGCCTAAAAGCGTAAGTTGTCAAGCGGGTCAGGAAGTCAGCAAGGAGCTATAGTTGTGCGCGTGAACAAATCTGCAGCCAGCTGTCTCTCTCACTAAGCACTTACCGACCAGCTGGCTGCCGATTCACCTAATATAAACGCTCCAAAATCTAGTCCTACCTTTGCAATAAGCTTGAACTGTCCTCCTTCCTGCGCTTCCAAGGTCGAAGGCGGTGCTCGAATGAATCGAGGTTTCATGATCTTTTCTTCTTCAGCAATTACCAAATGAGCATCCTTGCCGGACACTTCCGCAACCGTAACCGTACACTGCGTGGATTGCACTCCAGACGTATTCGTGGCAGTACAAAGGTAAATACCGGCATCTTGTGCTGTGCAGTCGTGTATGTGCAGCTCAGACAACCCTTTATCGTCAAACTCAAGTCGCACCCGTCTGCTGGTGGCTATTCGCTCGCCATCTTTGGTCCAGACTAAATCAGGTTCAGGATGGCCAATAGCACGGCAGCTTAACACTAGCTTTTTGCCAGTCAGTGTAGTGATATCTTCCAAATTTTTCTCGAACACCGGGGCCGCCTGGTCCTCTGCTCCTCTGACGAACACTTCGCAATCAGTTTGCGCCATGCCTTTCTCGTTTGTCAAAACACAGCGATATACACCAGCATCAGTCACGTTGCTGTTGTGGCAGACAAGCTTCTGAGATCCGTTGGAGGAGGTGAACAACTCGTAGCGACCTGTGGGCGTAACCTTATCATCATTGTGGTACCCACTTGGCAGTGCCATCCTTAGCGGCGAATCTACAGCTCAAAGTAAACTGTTGTCCTAAATTGGTACTGTTTTCGTTGGCTCTAATGGTTTGGCAACCAGAAGGAGCTCCCGACTGACCTTTATTCACTTTAGCTCACTGAGTGCGTGCCAACTTACGGAACTTCTTCCTTGCTGGAAATAACACTGACAGAAATGTCAGATGACGCTTGTCCCATCTCGTTTTCGATTTGGCACGTGTAGATGGCGTCGTCGACACCACTGCGGGCTTTAGCTATGGTTAGCACGGAACTGTCACTTTCAGTGGTGATACTGCCGTCAGTCATTTCTTTGCCGCTCTTGTACCATTTGACTGAAGGGGTGGGTGAGCCGCTGAACTTCGCCACAATACAGAGTTCTTCGTCTTCTGTCACAGCAATGGAAGAAGCCGGTGATTCTGTGAAGAGTGGCTTTGTTCCGGCCGGGAGAGTTCTTACTTTCACAGGTAAACTGCCTTCACTGAATCCTTCCGCATTCCTGGCAGCAACACGGAAAAGATATTCAGTGTTGGGTGAAAGATTCTTGATGGTACATCTTGGTCGGGTTACTGTTGCTACTTCGACCCAGTTCTGTTGATCAGGAGTGCGCTGCTCCACTTTATAGTCTTCCACACGTGATCCGTGAGTGTCTTCGGGTGGGGACCAGCTCAATGAGACGGAGTCCTTCGTAGAGCTCTCCACAACCGGCTCGCCTTTGATAGCACTAGGGGGACCTTTGACGATCTTGACTGCTGTTGGGGCGGCTTCACGGCGAGGAGTGACCACAACTTCGCTCTCGGCTGTGACTTCGCCATGTTCGTCCTTGGCAGTGACTGCGTATTGTCCTTCGTCTTCAGGGGTGACATTTGCTATAATTAGTCTGGATGTCAGACCGTCACGCTCCATCTGCACCCTATCTGTGGCGTTAAGTGGTCGACCGTTTTTGAGCCACGTGACTTGCATCGAAGATGAGCCGCTAATATCACAGACAATTGTTAGAGATGAAGACTCATCGACGACGAACTTGGCTTTGGGTGCGACCACGAATGTCGGTGGTGATGGAACAGCAGCCTGAAAAGAAATCCATCGTTCTGAAGATCAAAGTAATTAAGGTCAATTGGTGTGGCAGGTATTCGACTTGCAGCTAATTGCCGGTGGATCGCGCGACTGCTCCCAAGTCTGACACCTGCCTAGCGCGTAATAATTTGCTGTGGCACCTATTGCACTTTCAAAGAAAAATAAAGATATGGACGAAAGCTCAGCCCTTTTGGCCCCCTCTCCCTACATATGCACATATCATCATTATTTCAAATTAATCTGAAGTACCTCGGCAGTTATCTGGTCCAGCTGCACCACGGCAGAAGAGTGGGAGTCACCATGCGGATTGGAAGCCGTTACGGTGTACGTTCCACAGAGATCTTCCGTGAGTGCATGAATTTCAAGGGTTGAAATACCATCGTCGGAAGGATCGAGTACGGTAACGCGAGTCACTCGTAATAATAGGACGACCGTTATGCAGCCAGCTTATCGCTATGGGCGGATCTCCTCGCACTTGACAACTCAGCGAAATGGGAGCGCCAAGCTGAAACAACTATGTACAGGAGGGTCACTGGGACCATGAATTCATGCTGTTACCTCTTTGACAGTCACATTCTGGATCTTCTTTATGAAAACAGGGATGTTGGACAACTGGTCTGTAGTTTCTTGCTCGACTACCAGCATAGCACGGGACTCCACCGCACCCAACTTGTTGGAAACCTAAACACGGTCAATAAAAAGAAATCAGGAAAAAGAACCCTTCTGCCATGCTTTCGTTTTGTTACTCATTCCTGACCGCGAACGTTCTTCGTAACCTTTCAACGAGTTAAACTTCATACAGAAAAATAGTAACATCAGAACAAACTGAATCGCGACAGCGGACCGTGCAAGTTATATAGCTGCTCCCTGTGGTGCTGCACGGTTGCGCCTGCGTTTAGATCTTAAGCAACCGCACTTTGCCATCGAACACGTGAGTCGAAGGGGTTCTCGATTTTCGGTCACAGAGTTTCTCCATCGCTGGTACCTTTCGTCACTGGTGTTGGAACAGCCGTCGCACTTCTTAGCTACAAGAAGGTGCTCGAACATCCTAAAGTAATCCAATTGACTAATTTTCGAACAAATAGCAAGAAATTGTGATCCAGAAAAGAACACAACAAAAACAGCTTTGAATTGGTTCGTCAACAAAGGGGTCGAGTAATTATGAGGGCGGAATCATCAGCTCGAATAACCAACTGACGGAGTGGAGAACGACTAGGACTGTGTTCTACCGCTCCATCAACCTCGCCTAAATGTCAGCACCCATTCAAAATTCGAAAATGCATTCACCCTTCTAATTTCTTGATCAAAACATGACATTCTAGCAATTATTATGCGTATAATATAGAATGAAAGTTTCAAAATGTTTCAAACCGAAGACATATCAAAATAGAAAGGAATGACTCACCAGTTACTTTAACGCGGCATTCCGTAACATCCTTGCCTGCGATTAACGACTCAAGATATTCACCAGAATCTCCAGTGTCACAAGCAGTTCATAATGTTCAGTCTCGCCACTCCCTTCCTATCAGAGTACTGCAGCATACGGTTTTCCACAACCAACTTTTGCCCGTCTTTGTACCTGAAAACGAAATTTCATCAGTGCGTAGTGAGGACTTCCTAGGACGCAATAAATCTGAATAGTCATACCAAGTAATGACAGGGGTTGGTTTGCCTTTGAAGCAGCATTCGAGAAGTATTTCTTCCGTCTCCTGCACTGTCTGATCCATCAACAGTTCGACAAATTTGGGAGCAGATTTGTCAGCTTCAACTGACGCTGAATGGCAAAAATTGTACTGCAGTTAATGAAAAGAAATTCAATTAAGTGAAAGTCGCAAAACTCACTTGTAATGTTCACAACAGTCTCCGATCGTGCTTTACCATGGATGTTTTCAGCCTCACATGCGTAACTGCCGCTATCCGCTAAGGTCGCGGATGCAATAGTTAGGTTGCAGACGCCATTATCATAAGTTGCGTCCTTGTCAGTCAACGACAACCTGAGTGAAAATTATGAAGGAACTAATAAGGAGGTGCCATAATAAGCTAAGTACTATCTCGGTCAGCCTTTGAGCTGTTTATACAGGGATGGGTAGTGTAAGGGATTAGTAGAAGGGCAATATTTTATTTTGAAACCATTTCGAGCTAGCGCGCAACCTTTAAGGAGGGGTGAAAATGGCAAGGTGGCACACAAGTGAATGGGCGACCATTTAGAATCCACAGGGAATCGCACCTTATGACCTTTGGATATTAAAATAGCTTATTTGTACCCAAAAACAATTGGAGACAACGCCCTACCTTTTACCATCTTTGAGCCAAGTGATTTTTGGATGAGGAGTACCAGTGACGACGCACGTTAAGATCAGCTCAGTTCCCTCCGGTACCTGAAATATGAAATAATGCATGCAGACAAGAATCAGCCAAAAATTAAAAGAAACAGTTCCAAGGTAGCGTAGAAAAACTCGAAACTTACTTCACGTGGATTGACCAAATGCATGCTAAACTTTGGAGCTTTAGACTCGTCAATTTTCTTGCTTCTTTTGTCCTCTGGCTCCTCAATGCGGACGCTGCAGACACTCTCAGCCTCACCAATCACATTTCGAGCCACGCATCTGTAAGGTTCAGAAATTATTTGAAGATGAAAGAAAGTTGTCGAGAGCCATAAATTACCTGTACTCTCCACTATCCTCTTTATAAGCCTTCACAATTGTAAGGGAATATTCTTTTGTATCATCGTCAAATTGAAGTCGATGATTTAGAGAATGTTGAAGTTCCTTGTCGTCACAATACCTATAGAATGTGTACTGTCGTTGTATTTCAGCAAAAATTACTAACTTGTACTATTTACCAAGTAATCTCAGGCGGAGGATTGGCTAAGATCTTAACGGGCAGCGTGAGCAATTCCATTTCTTCACAGCTGACGTCTTGTAAAGTCTTTTCGAAAGTAGGTGCCATGAATCCGTCAGGGATCTTCACCACCACATCACACGAGCTTTCGCATTGTCCCAGCTTGTTTCGACCAACGACTTTCCATTTACCTGAGACATTCCGGTTAGTATGAGCCCGCCATGAGTCCGTGCTTTTGTTAGAGCTATTTAACGATTTTGAAACGAAACTGACCTCCATCGATCAAGTTGGCGCTATCGATGATGAGCTCATAGCGGCTCTTGTCGTGCTTTAGTACGTACTGCGTATCGGACTCATCTATCAGCTTTTCATTGTGGAACCACTCCACTGCCAGTTCAGGTGCAGAGACGCTTGTCACAGAAAGGATGAGCTTCTCACCCAACATGACTGAACTATCCACCAAACCAGGTTTGAAAGACGGTTTCGCTTCTGCAACCACTGGTTCCTCCTCAGCAACCTGCAAAGCAAACTAATTACGAAACTAGAATTGTGTGTACTTTAGTTTTCTCTCGACGTGAAAACTATTTGAGAATGAGGAGTACATGATTCTTCAGAAATAGAAACTGCAAAACGAGGACGAAATTTACAGGATCAACGGTCTTACACTGACTATTATTTGGTCTCGAAGAATCGGTATATAAAGCGCTTTCCATATTTAAATCGTTTCCAACCCCTCTTTTTAGAAGTATGATGCCTAAAAGCCGCAAAAAAGCGTACCTTGACGGCCTTCTTCTTCTGCAGCTCGGCTGGAGATGTCTTGGCTTCTCTGACTCCAACGATCAATTTGCCTTCCGTAGACACCGAACCGAGCTCATTCGTAGCGCAGCAACGGTATACTCCAGCGTCAGATTGCTCGATGTTCTTCACTGTCAGCTCCGCTAGACCATCTTCGAAGTGTGAATCATATTTGATTGAAGGTACAACCAATTGTTTCTCGTCTTTGAACCATGGTGAATTTGCGGCATTGGAGAACCATCCATCTCGCAGCACAGCACTGCAATTAGGTCGCCCACATAAGCGACGATGTCCTCGAGTTGCTTTTTCACATGAGGAGGGTAGTCCGCATCTAAAATTATATGTAGCATGAGCACAGCTAATAATGCCCTCGTAAATAATCTTAATTAGGCTTGCTCCCGAGCT